AATGGGGCTCAGTGCCTGCGGGCTGGGGGCACTGGGTTAGCCCTGGTGGGTGGCAGCTGCGGGGCCAGGCCAGACGCTCCCCTCACTTCTCTCCTGCCGCCGCCTGTCTCTGCAGGAGGCCCCACCGCCTCGGCCGTCCCCACCGCCACGCTGGCCTCCCCGACCGGGCGGCCCAGCGCCTGCTCCGCCAAGCAGTTCTCCTGCGGCAGTGGGGAGTGCCTGGCCCCGGAGAAGCGCTGCGACCTGCACTCGGACTGCCAGGACGGCTCCGACGAGAGCAGCTGTGGTACGTGCCGGGCTCCTGCTGCGGGCGCTCGGCCCTGGGCACGTCCCCCTGGCACCTCCCAGCGACGCTCGGGGAGCTGCCTGAACCTCGGAGCAGGGAGCCAGGCCCCTGCCCTCCCACTGGCTCCATCTCCAGCCGGCGCCAGGGGCCAGGCTCCCTCATTCCCTGGCAGATCCTGCCCATGGGAGCTCTGGCGGCCCTGAGGTCAGAGCCGCGAGCCCCAGCCTGCATGGCTCCCGGATGGGGCCCCGGGCTAGACACGGCTAAGCTGCGGTCCGGCTGGGGAATGTCCCGGGACGCGGGGGGTTGGCCGGAGCCCTTGGCACCCCTGTCTCTAAGGCCTGTCTCCTGCCCCGCCAGTGGACTGCATCCTGTCTCCCTGGAGCGGCTGGAGCGAGTGCAGCCGGTCGTGCGGGCTGGGCGTGACCTTCCGCCGGCGGGACCTGCTCCGGAACGCCCTGCCCGGGGGCCAGTGCGAACGCAACGAATTCGACAGCCGCTCCTGCTTCCTCCGGGCCTGCCCAGGTGAGACCCCCCAACTGCCTCCCTGGGGAGCAGAGACCCCCGCCCCCCTGCCGTGCTCCCTGGGGAGCAGAGACCCCCCGTCCCGCCCGCTGTGACCCCTGGGGAGCAGAGACCCCCCTAACCTGCCTCCCTGGGGAGCAGAGATCCCCGCCCCACCTGCTGCGCCCCCCGGGGAGCAGAGACCCTCACCACGCCCCCTGGGGAGCGGACCCCCGCCCCACCTGCTGCGCCCCCCGGGGAGCAGAGATCCTCACCACACCCCCTGGGGAGCAGACCCCCGCCCCACCTGCCCGCCCCTCTGCACAGCCCCTTGCAGCTGGGGACGGAGGCTCAGCCCCCTGCTCAGAACACAGCACAGCCCCCATCTGCTGGGCCCCACGGCCCAGCCCTGTAGCTCGGGGCCAAGCCAAGGGCTGCCAGGGTGTGGGCCCCACGCCTGCCCTGCTGGACCCACCCAGCCGCCCTTCCCGGCCCCTGCACTTGGCCTGGCTGCTGTTGGAGGCGTCGGGGCAAGGTGGAACCCCTCCAGTGCCCCTCACTGTGTGGGACTGTCCCGTGGGGAGCTGCCCCCAGCCCTGCGAGCATCGCTGGTGGCCGGTGGCAGGGCGCTGGGCCTCGCCTGTAGCAAGGCCAGCCAGAGAGCCGGAGGGCAGGGGGTGGGGAATCCGGCGTGGGGCCGGCCCAGTGGGGCTGAGAGCAGGCCAGGGCTGCCCAGCTCTGTGCTCACCCCGTCCCTGCCCCTTCTCTGGGCCAGTGAACGGCGCCTGGGCCCCCTGGGGCGAGTGGTCGGACTGCGACGCCGAGTGCCGCGGCGGAGTGCGGAGCCGCACGCGGAGCTGCGCCGACCCCCCGCCCAAGAACGGGGGCCAGCCCTGCCCCGGCGACGCCGTGCAGACAGAGCCCTGCAACCTGCAGCCCTGCGGGGATGCCCGCGGTAAGGGGGTGCAGGGCCGGGGGGCAAAGGCGGGGAGGGGCTGGGGGGGTCGGGAGAGACTAGGGCCCATGGGTATGCGTGGGGAATGCAGGGAGAGGACATGGAGTGAGCGGGGCGAGGGTATGAGTGTGAATGGGGGGCTCTGGGAGGGGTGGGAGGAGGGGGCCTCCTGCCTGAGTGCCGTGCGCCCCTGCAGACTGCGGCCCCGAGATGGTGCACGTGCAGGCTGAGGACTGCGAGAGGGGCCTGGTGGCACCGTGCCCCCAGTCGTGCCGGGAGCTGAACGCTGAGAGGAGCTGCCAGAGCCATTGTGTGGAGGGTGAGTGGCGCTGGGGGGCGGCGCTGGGGGGCGGCGGGGCATCAGCGAGAGCCCAGGGGCCCTGGCCAATGGCACTGCCCTTCACACTCCTGGCTGTCACCCGGCCTGGCCCCCTCCCCATCCACCCCGGCCCTCAGCCGGCCGGGCTTGAGTCTGCCCCAGGCCTGGGGGGCGATGGCTTCGGGTGCCCTCGGTGCACTGGTGCCGCTCCACAGAGCCGCTGGCAGCAGGGCCCAGGCTCTGCGCCAGCCCACGGGAGTCCTGGGGCTTCTCTCCTGGCGGGTGACTCTGGGTCCCTGCTGGGTGACGCGATCCCTGGGCGCCGAGGAGCCACCAGGCCCCAGCCCGGGCCCCCTGGCCTCACGGCGTCCGGCTGGCATTGGCAGGCTGCCGGTGCCCCCCGGGGCTCTACCTGCAGGAGGGCGGCTGCGTGAACATCAGCCAGTGCCACTGCGACTTCAGCCAGGAGCGGCGCCTGCCCGGGGAGATGTTCCTGCACGACAACTGCAGCCAGTGGTGAGTGCCGGGGGC